TTCAGTTCCCAGTACTGACACGGTAGCTAACAACCATTCATAATTCCAGTTCCAGGGGATCTGACACCCTCTTCTGACTACCCCACAGGCCTTTGCGTGCATGTGATGTGTACTGTGTAGCCAGGGTCAGGCTCAGAGACTCCAGCCAGGGCTGCAGGATTTTGGAGCTGAAGGGGCTCTGCAGCGTGTTCCCGGAGGAGAAGAGATGCCCATTTTTTTCATACCTTATCATGGAATTGCCCTTGAATTTGGGCCACACTGTGAAGAGGCGTGGTCCTGTTTGAGGCAGCTCTCTGCAGCAGAAGGCTCAGTTGCTGAAGACTAGCATTCTGCTGTACACCAGATATAATAAGATTTTCACTGAAACACACAAACCTGAAGTTCTCAGTCATGTATTACATCAAAGTTTAGTCCTTGCTTACGTCGGTCGACGGCAGCTGCAGCTGCTCACTGAGGCTCCTCTCCCTCCAATTCCCTTGCACACATCACTCCACCATCTCCCTTTCAGCCAGGCAGCACACCCCATCCCTTCCCTGTCTTCTGTTCCTGGCTCCAGGCTCTCAGCATCCTTTTTCACAGACTAGCATCCATTTCCTGCTCTGGCAGGAAAGGCCAAGTTGCCCAGCTGCAGTGCGCTAGGCGTAGAGATATCATGTTGTGCTTATCCTCATTCGGGACCTCAGACAACCATTAGCTTTTATGAATCTCCAGAAATTACAAGGCACACTCCAGAGCCTGACTTGATTCATAGGAAGGACTGTAATTGAGGGGCTGGCATCTTCTAGAACATGGTTCTTTTTTAGATATTTCATTGGCTATTTTTATTTTATGTGTACGAATGTATTGCCTGCACGTATATAAGAGCACTGTGTCGTGCAATGCCCTCAGAGAGCAAAAGAGGGTGTTGGATTCCCTGGAACTGCAGTTATGGATGGATGTTAACTGCCATGTGAGTCCTGGGAACTGAACCCAGGTTCTCTGCAAGAGCAGCCAGTGCTCTTAACCGCTGAGCATCTCTCCAGCCCCTCTTAAAATTTCTCTTATTATTTTATTTTTATTTTATGTGTATGAATGTTTTGCCTACATGTGTGTAAGTGCACCACGTGTGTGCAGTGCCTACAGAGACAAGGAGGTGAATCCTCGGAACTGGAGTTACAGACGGTTGTTAATTGCCACGTGGGTGCAGGGAATCGAACCTGGGTTCTCTGTGTTCTTGAGAGCTGAGCCGTCTCTCCGTCCTGAACATGGTTCTTTCTGTGTCACAATGATCACTTTCAGCTTCCAAAAGACATTCCATGTTAGTATTTGAAATACTAACAATTTGTGGTGAGCATGGATGACTCTCATTTGTTTTACTGTGTCATGTCCTGAGACCCTGCGGAGACCTAAGGAAACTCTGGTCACCCCATAAACAGAGCACCCACAGACCAAACAGCCAATTCTGTCCAAGTCTAGCCTGGTGAATCAAGGAGATCACTGGGGTCACTTACAAGATCATGGGTGCGTCACGGGCAGCTGCGTCACTGGTCTCCTAGGTGACTCAGGAACAGCTACCGCACTGAGATGCCGGGTCCCTCTAAATTGTTTCCCTCTTATATAAACTCAGGGAGGGGTGGGGGAGGCCTTCTGAGGGTCTCTGACTCTCTTGAGCCACCTATGCACACCAAGGCTGGGCTAACAGGTTCCATACTAAGCATCTCTCCACCCTGGTGAGTCGCCTCAATCTTTGGACTCTCTCAGGCACCTTAGAGACCCATGACATTCACATGTGCCTCCGTGTTAGCAGGTCCAATATGAGGGGTGATCAGAGTTGCTGTTTCCGGACACCTGTGGTCATGTTCATCCCAGGAGCTGTTTTACCGTTACATACTTTTACCTTCTTCTCCTACCCCACACTTTATATTTACACCTAAACTCATTTGTTAAATATGAAAAATCACTTTACGTCAAAGACCAGGTTCAACTTCCAAAACCTGTTCCTGGCCTGAGCTCCTACCTTGGGCTCCCTGATGAACTGTGACCTGGGACATATAAGACAAACCTTTTCCTCCATAAGTTGCCATTGGTCAGAGTGTTTTGTCACCCCCCTCTTTAATTTATCTCAATTATTGTTTTTGTTTTTTTTTTCACATTTATTTGTGTGTGTGTGTGTGTGTGTGTGTGTGTGTGTGTGTACATATGTGTTTGTGAGCACACATATTGGTGCAAATGTGGAGATCAGAAAACAATTTTGGGGGGGTTGGTTCCCTCCTTATACTATGTAGGTCCAGGGATCACACTAAGGTCTCAGGCTTGCTGCAAGGGCCTTTACCCGCTGAGCCATCACACTGCCCAATGCCTCCGCATTTCAAGGTGAAGGAAATTCAAGTGCCTACGAGACACTGGGCCACTTGTTCTACCCTCCCCGCCTGGGTCCAGTGCACTTCCCTTGGTCTGCTGCTCCTGCTGCCAGCTCCACACTACAGTGCACTCTTGCTTTTTCTACAGTTGAACCTGAGTTACAGCCTTCCTTGTCGAATCCCACAGGCCTTCTCTCCATCCATCTGCTGATACTGATTCAGCAGGTACACACTTGCTGTGCTAAGCCTGACTACGTGGGTCAAATCCTTGGAACCCACACAGTAGAGAACCAACTCTTGAAAGTTGGCCTCCAAACTGTACCTGGGTGCCGTGGCACACGTGCACACCCACACAAACATGCACTTCATAGGCACAGAAAACGTAACAAATGATAAAAATGATCCATGGCTCTGGTTTTGCTTGTTCGGTTGTTTGCGTTTATGTTGGCTTGATTCTGCTTATTTTATTCTTCTCAAATGTTTTCTTTCAGTACATCTATTTTATAGAACCCTAATTTTTAAATATGCTTTAAGGATTTCCTTTCTTTGCTTTGCATAAATAATTAGGAATAACGAGTTTATAAACACCAGTGGTTACAAAACCTCCTAAAGTCACAAATGGCTGAGACTCAGTTGGTTAAAAGTTCCAGTTTCAGAGTCCTACAAGCTCCTGGGAACCTGCTCATATGATTCTATGGCAATGGTGTCAGCATACATAAGTCCCATGCACACTCAGGTAGACAATAACCCAGCATAGAACTGGGAAAATGAACAGCAGACCTCAATCTTATCTGAAGGAATGTTGGTAACTGATTGCCACTGGATGAAGAGCTGATCTTCCTAAAACAAGGGACTCTAGAGATCCTGACTAGACTTAGTGGACTGGCTTGCACTGGGGAATGGCTGGGGACTCTGACAACACAGTGGGCCTTAACAGGGACTGAGTACATGGGCTCCAGTGGAGGGGGTGGTATGGGAGGGTGCCATGGGGATGGGGGTTTAAAGATGATTAAGATTGTTTAAGCTGTTCTGCATGCAATACACAAAAAAAAAATCAATAAAAAAGTTGTGGGGAAAAAAGCCCCAGTTTCTACATAAACAGATGTCCTGCTCTGGGAGGTGGGCCAGCTACAGTTGTAGCACCATCATGAGATTCTGGGGTTCAGGGGCTAGAGCATTGTCTCTGTGAGGCCAGAGTGGAGGATTCAGAGACCCAGTTGAACTTGGGCATGAATTCAGCTCAGACCCCCAGCATCATCCACTGTTGACCCAAGTGACTGTGGAAGCTACCCTCAGCACCTCAGGAGAGGTGCCTTGGGGAAACCCGGAAACAAGAGGTGTCCCTGACATCTAGGCACCTACTGTAAGAATTCCTTCTCTGGTGAAACGGAAACATCTACTCTCGGTGTACAGGGTCCCAAGGACTAAATAAAGCAGGATTCTGCCAAACTTCAGCTTGGAGAGCCAGAGGCTTTATTGGTCTTAATTACAGAGCACAGGTGAAGAGTTACCACCAGAAAAGTGGGTGGCCCCAAAGCAGCCTGCCACCCCAGGTTCTCCCAGCAGCCTAGATCACAACTTCTCCACAGCAGCAGAGATACAGTCCCATTCAGTTAACCTCCCACAGTCTATACTCCAGCACCTCCTGAGACCATGAGGCAACTGGAGATCACAGACAAACACCAGAAGGTACAGGAGGAGGCAGCTGAACCTCAGATGAGGCTCTACTGACCTTCCCACCCCCACCCCATCCCCCTCCATGAGGGAAAACACATGATCAAGAAGCTCCATCTGGAGGTCTGTGGTAGGTAGTCAGAGCTCTTCTGTTGGAGATGATGTCTGTGATGCTCAGAGGACAGTGCCATACATCAGGGCCACAGGCACATACATGTTCAGGAGTGTGCTGCCAGTTGCTGAAACCTGCTACCTCTTTCCAAGGCATCCTATGGGGTGGGAGGTCCAATGAGTGGTCACAGGGAGGCCCAATTGTCATAGGGGGAGAAAGCGTCCTCAGTTCTCAGCTGTGTCAGTTCCTGGAGGTAAGGGTGCACCCTGTACTGAGGATAGGCCCCGCCCAGAATTTTTCAGTGGCTGAGACTTTTCAGGGTTCTGGGTGTCTTAGTTACTTTTTGTCATAATAATGAAATGCAGACCACAGGCTTCTGTATGAAGCAAGTAGTATCTTTTGGTTCATGGTTTATACTTGGGAAGTTCAATCAGCACGGTGCAGTCTACCATGAGGGCACTGGCATACATCAGGAGTGTGTGCATATCTGAGTTCTCTCTCTCTCTCTCTCTCTCTCTCTCTCTCTCTCTCCCTCTTTCTCTCTCTCTTTCTCCTCCCTCCTCCTCTTTTTCCATTATTTTTTTTTTCTCTCTCTCTCTCTCTCTCTCTCTCTCTCTCTCTCTCTCTCTCTCCATTAGGATTCAATCATATAGTCCCATCCTCAAGAGCTAATCTCATATCGAAGGTCCCACTCTTAACACCATGGTCAGATTAAGTATATACTCTCCATGAAATTAACTTGACTACATTCAATTCCTGCATGAGTTCAGTATTGGGGTCAGAGGTCAGAAGTAGAGCTGTGTGTGTGACCAAAGATGGAGCATGCCCACTGGACGTTGGTAGGGCTCAGGAGTCCGAGGGGAAGATGTGAGTGCTTACTCCATTTCTATCACAGTCAGCGGCAGGGACATTCTGGGGATCCTGGTGGCCCACAAAATCTTAGAGGTGTATGAATGGTCAGCTGCCAAGACCTCAGCTGAATCCACAGGGGTCTTGCTGGCCCCAGAAGCTTGTCTAGAGAATCTTCTGGGCACAGTGTCCTTGAGAATCCATGGTGGAACAAAGTCCAGGAAATTTGCAGTGGCACAGTCCAAAGAGAGCAAGCAAGGGCCAGGATGCATGGGGTGGTCAGGGTCCAGTGGGGGACCCAAGGGTTGGAGGTCAGGGGCACAGTGACATCCCAGAGATTTGGTGGGAAAATAGAGCTCAGGACTGGGAGGCCCAGGCTCCTGCATACAAGTCCCACTGGCAGGCAGGGGCAGACCTTCCTGACCTTGAGTTTCTGCACTTACCTCTGGGAGCAGAGTGGCCTCCCAGACCTGTGGCTGGGGATGTTCATTACCACCACCACCACATCTCCCAGCCGAGGGATGGGCATCTGGGTCCATCAAGCTGGACCTCAGCAGCGGGATCTGGATGGACTTCTGAAAGCTGCTGGCCACTGCAGCCCTGTGCCGAACAGCATCATGCTTGGACGAGGAGGGGCGCCTGGACTCAGAGCTCACAGGCGTGAAACCGTGGCTGTTGCGGCCTGTGTCAAGACACCTGAGGGGTCCCGGGGAGTGGTGCTTCCAGCCAAGCTTGGGTGTCTCCTGAGTCAGCGGGTCAGTCCCGAAGGTCAGCTCCCGTGTGGCGGGCTGTGCCTCCTCCTCGCGGTCCGCCGCTCCGCGGTCCTGGCCGCGCTTCCACGGCTCATAGCGCTCGGGCTGCAGGATGCGCACGAAGGCATCCATGGAGAAGCTGACCCTGGCCTCCCCACAGCTGCACTGAGACGCCACTTTGCCATAGTCGACCCAGCGCGGGGTGGCGAAGTTGATGGCCTCTGCGCAGTTGAAGCCGTGATTGAAGCCGGCGTGGTAGCCCGAGGGAAAGGTGACCATGAACTCGCCAGCCTCCTGCGTCATGCGGCCGAACGGGATGCCATTCTCCCTGAGCACGCTGGGCGAGATGAGGGCCGCCTTGTGCCTCAGGAAGGCCTGGCAGCCCCGGGAGCTGCCCGGGAACAGGTCCCTGGCCAGGCGCTCCAGGCGCCATCCGTGCTCGGGGGGCACCGCGTACCACGTCTTGGGCTCCCCGAAGTGCAGGTAGTTGATGCTGTACAGGTCCATGTCCTCCGTGTGCCACGCGAACGTGGCCTTCCACATGCCGAAGTACAGGTAGGGCGTGTTCACGCCCTCGATCACCACCTGGCTCTCCTGCCTCAACAGGTCCAAAGCGCTTCCCAGGTGCCCCACGTTCCAGTGCTGGGTGTTCTCGTCAAACAGGGACCCGCTGACGTCGGCTCCGTATATGGGTGGCACATAGAGGCGGTTTTTCCAGTACTTTCTCTCCAGATCTTCAAAGTCCAGGTGTGCAGGGGTGCGGTGCTTTTTGCTGTTGGCCAGGTGGCGGTACTGCCCCACGGTCATGGGTCTCTTTTTCTTACTGTGTTGAGTGAACACACCTGCCCTGCCAGAGACCACCTGCTGCAGGGGGGAGGCGATTACGATGTGGCCGATGTCGTCATAGGACTGCCGGGCTCTCCATCCCCTGGGTGGAATGACCTTGGCCAGTCCTGCTCGGTGAGCTCCCTGGGACTCCATGTAAGCAATGTACTTGTTGAAATTTGAAAACTCCTCCATGGTTGGTCGGAATGTCATGATGGCACAGCCTGGTTTCTGGTTTGCACGGTGTCCAGAGGTCATGGCTGCTGCCTTTGTACTGGTCTTCAGTGGTTCCAGTCCTGAGTGTTCTAGAGTTTCTC